CATCCGACTCCTTGATTGGACGCATCGCAATAGACAACGAAGTCTTCTATCCCTTCGGGGAGGGATAGTATTGGTGCGGTGCACAAGGCTCTTTTGAGCGTTTGGGACGCTCTCTCCTGCTTCTCTTCCCATTCAAAGGCCACACCCTTCTGGGTCAGTGTCGTAAGAGGTTTCACAATGCGGGAGAAGTTCTGAATGAACATGCGATAGTAGCCAGCGAGACCTAGAAATTGACGAATTTTTGTAGGCGTTTTCGGTGCTGACCAGTTCTCAATGGCTTTAATTTTGGAAGGGTCCACGTGTATTCCCTCTTCACTAACCACGTGCCCTAAGAATTCGTCTCGTCGGATCCAAAATTCGCATTTCGAGAACTTCGCATAGAGCTTCTCCGAATGAAGTGTTTCTAAGACTTGTCGCAGATGTTGACTATGTTCCTCCTTACTACGAGAGTAGATAAGTATGTCATCGATGAAGACGATGGCGAACTGATCCAAGTAAGGACGACACACCCTATTCATTAAGTCCATGAATACTGCGGGCGTGTTTGTTAATCCGAACGGCATCACTACGAATTCGTAGTGCCCATAACGAGTTCGGAAGGTTGTCTTCGGAACATCCTCCCCTAGCACTCGTAGTTGGTGATATCCGGATCTTAAGTCGATTTTTGAAAAGAAATTCGCCCCTTGAAGTTGGTCAAATAAATCGTCGATACGAGGCAACAGATAACGTTTTTTGACGGTTAGTTTGTTGAGCTCCCTGTAGTCGATGCACATACGAAACGATCCGTCTTTCTTCTTAACGAATAAGACAGGAGCTCCCCAGGGTGAGAAGCTTGGTCTTATAAAGCCCTTGCTGAGCAGTTCGTTAAGTTGACAGGATAGCTCTTGCATCTCTGCAGGTGCTAGACGATAGGGCGATTTGGCCACGGTGGTAGCCCCTTGAACTAAGTTGATTCGAAACTCGACTTGACGTTGCGGAGGTAATCCTGGAAGTTCTTCCGGAAAGATGTCTGGAAAGTCGCTTACTATTGGAACGTTCTGAATGTCTTTCGTTTCTTGGCTCACGTCGACCACATGAGCAAGGAATGCGCGATATTCCTTTCGCAAGAATTTCTAAGCTTGAATGCTCGAGATGATACGAAGGTTCGTGCCGGGTTTGTCGCCATAAACTACTAAAGTTGCGCCAGACGGCAGATTAAGGCGTACAGCCTTTTCGTAACACATGATGTCGGCACGATGAAGACTCAACCAATCCATGCCGATAATGACGTTGAAACTTTTAATTGAGACCGGCATGAGATCGATTGAAAATGAATGGCTATCTAAAGTTAGGGTACACCCTATGTATATACTGCTAGTGCTCTCCGTCTTTCCATTAGCCATTTCTACAGTGAATGGTTCTTTGAGTGCTCGTGATTTTTTCTTAAGTAAATGAGCAAATCTTTGGTTCACGAAGCTCCTCTCCGCTCCACTATCAAATAGTATACATGCATATGAGTTATCGAGGAGAAACGTACCAGTGACCACTGTGGGGTCGGCAACCGCTTCCTCGTGGCCTATGGCCAGAACTCTTGCCACTCCACCAACGTTCCCTGCCTTCGGTCAGTTCCTTTTGAAGTGGCCCACCTCGCCACAACCGTAGCAAGTTTCGCTCACACCAATGTCGGGGACTTGGGTGATTGGCTTCGCCGGGGCTTTGCAGAAACGGGCAGTGTGCCCCTTCCTGTTGCAGTTCAAGCACTGCATTTCCCGGCAGGCTCCTACATGGTGGAAGTTGCACTTGGGCAAACTTTCGGAGTACTGCTTTATTGGAGCAGCAGAAGTGGCAGGTGCTATCGCACTATGAACTACCACGATCTACTGCATTTCCCTGGAATGGAGGCACCAGCCCCCATATTTACCTTTCAATCTTCTTCCCCTCTGTATGAACCATGTTGGGATAGATGGCCACCAGTTCACAGAACCTGTCGGTGTAGGCGACTACGTTGGAGCCCTTCATGGTTAGGCTCCACAGTTCTTCTTCCACCAGTTCACAGAACCTGCTTCTTGGCAGCCTTCTTCTTTTTCTTGTCAATATAATAGAATATAAGTTTAAAAGAGTTTACTAAAAGTATTTGATAAGTAAAAGAGTTTGTAAAACAGTTTGAAGTAAAACAGTTTGATAACACAGTTTGAAAAGTAAGAAATCCACTTGTTTGGTAGTTATTAATCACATGTGATTGATATAATAACTATAAAGGTTCAACTTGTATTCCCCCCTATAAAAGCATTTAAAAACATTTAAAAGGTTAATTAAGGGGTATGAACTCACCTGTAGTGAGTGGTTTGGATGAACGGATTATATAGGATGCTAGGTGGAAAGTGAAGATTTGAGCACACACGCGGATCCTATTTAACATATAATGATACATATATGAATATAATTATCTTATAACAACTAATTAGTGACTTTTAACCACCTTAGGGACTAGTAAACACTTATTTTGAAGTGTTACAACCATATAAGATTGTATATAAGGGGTATATGGCTATACAAGGGAGTGTATGGTCAAAATACACACTATTTGTGTGTGTGCGGCCAGGGTGTGTGTGTGGCCGCACACTCCCTATGAAATGTGCCAAAACGTGTTTTAAGGCTTTAGGACTTATCTAGGAAGGTTTCTTACTTCATGCTTTAGCCTTATAAGAAGTTTATTGCCATTATTGGCCCTAAAAAGGGTGTGTGCGGCCACCATGATGCGTGCGGCCGCACACCCTTTATGAACATGATAAAATCATGTTTTTCTAGCATATCCTCAAGTTTTCTTAGCAGATAACAAGTTATACTAAGTGTACACACGTTATAGAGGCTTGAAAGGGTGATTTAGGTCCAAAACTAGTGCGTGTTCTTGGTGTTTTTGACTAAAATGAATGTTTTCACGGATCAAACCAGGGGAAAAGGCTAGTTAAGGTCATGTATTAGCTAAACCAAGAAGGAATCACTCACTTGTTTGAAGATTGGAGTGAAACTTTGGATGACACTTAAGAGAAAACGAGTTCTAGCTTTGAAGAAGTGAAAAAGTGTTCAAATATGACAAGTGTAGTATATAGATGGGAGAGTGTGTGGTTGAGATAGGTTTGCGGTCGCACACACTTGTGTGTGGCCGTACACTCAAGTGTGCGGCCGCACACTCCATGTGTTGGAGTGTTTGGCCCGATTTTTTCTTTATACGCATCGATTTATCCCATTTCTAGGTTCCTACCTTGATTGTAATGGGTTTAGAACACTTAAATAGACTCTAACAGTGCAACAAAAATAGCAAGAACGAGTCTAACCTTCATTTATTTGAATAAGAGTTTAAGGTAAGAAAATTTCGGATTGTCACAAAAGGCAGAGATGGAAAGCTTATTGGATTCAGTGATAGCAGCTATGGAATGGATATTGATGGTACAAAGGGTACAACAGGAATGATTTTCTACTTATTAGGAAATCCAATTACTTGGTCATCCCAGAAGCAACAAACTGTGGCTCTAAGTTCTTGTGAGGCAGAATTTATGGCAATAACAGCCACAACATGTCAAGCTTTATGGCTAATGAGTTTAATAAAAGAGTTGATTGGCTGGAAAGAAGAGTGTGTCATGATATATGTAGACAACAAATCTGCCATAGTTCTTATGCAGAATCCAGTTTTTCACGGAAGAAGCAAGCACATTGACACCAAATTCCATTTCATACGAGGATGTATTGAAAGGAATCAAATTGAGGTAAAGCACATCAATGGTGAAGAACAGAGAGCAGACCCCTTAACAAAAGCCCTGCCCAAACTCAAGTTTATAGAGATGAGGAATCTCTTAGGAGTTGTGAAGCTTGAAGACAAAGTTCATAATTAAGGGGGAGCTTATGGGATAAGTAATTCTGACTTGGTCCTTTGTTAACCTTGTCTAAACGAATAAGTGGAGTAGCTGCCACCTATTTAGGAGGACACGTTTTTTTTTTTCTTCAGTTTTTAGCATAGCAGTTCTTTTGTTTGTTTGTTATTTAAAAGCCTTGTGAGTTCTTGTTTTCATTATCCGAAATCAATAAGAAGAAAATTGGGAATCTTTTCCTGTAACTCTGTGTTTTGCTTTATTTGGGTATAAGCTTAAAGTGATCTGAACATGGGCCTATACCAACAGAATCTGTCATCATCACCGAGATTGTTGAAAAGATCTTAGAGGGTACACAACCTTGTGATGTGGAGAAAAATCTAATTGGTATAAAATCTCGTGTAGATGAATTATATTCTCTATTGGGTATGGAAGCAACAGAAGAGGTGCGCATGGTTGGGATATTGGGAATGGGAGGAATTGGTAAGACAACTATTGCCGAAGCTTTATTTGGAAGAATTGCCCATAATTTTGAGGGTCGTTTCTTTGTTAAAGATGTTAGAGAAAAAAGTTTTGGTGAAAAAGATATATATGCCTTACAAGAAAAAATTGTAAGTGAAATACTAGAGACACGTCACGACTTTTTCTGTTAATGATCCAGATCACGGAGGTAATGTTATACAAAGACGATCATTCAATAAAAAGGTTCTTCTAGTTCTTGATGATGTGGATGATGTTAAGCAACTAGACAACCTAGCTGCAACACATGAGTGGTTTGGTCCAGGAAGTAGAATCATTATAACCACTAGAGACGAGCATTTTGCTATCAGATGTAGATGTCATATACAAACCTGATTTTTTAGTTATGAATGAAGCAGTTGAGCTCTTTTGTAGGTATGCTTTTCGGAAAAGTACCCCCGGAAGGGTATGAGGAGCTCTCATATCGTGCAATACGCTATGCTAGTTGTCTTCCTCTAGCGCTGAAAGTTTTAGGCTCATTCTTCCATGGAAGAAAACTAGGCGTGTGGGAAAGTGCTTTAAGTAGACTAGCTAGGCAAAGCATCAAATGATAAGATCCTTGAGACACTGAAGTTAAGTTTTGATGGACTAGATTTTTCTGAGAAACAAATATTCCTAGACATTGCATGATTCTTCATGGGTAAAGATGAAGAACATCTAACTAGAGTACTTGATAGTTTTGGTTTTGACCCGGTGATAGGGATTAGTGTTCTTATTGAAAAATCTCTTATAACCGTTTCAAATAAAAGCCTAGACATGCATGATCTCATACAGGAAATGGGTTTCTATATAGTTCGCGAGAGTTTGCCAAAAAGCAGGCTATGGGAACTTCAACAAATCCATGAATGCATCAAGGGAAACAAGGTAAACTTTCACTATCTTCATAAACTAATTTCTTTCAATCTATGTTTTTAGAAACAATACCGTTTTAGTTACGGTTTAGTTCTTTGTAGTAGAATCCACAAGCAATTGAAGCCATAAAGTTGATGGACAATGAATACCATGTTGATGACTTACATGCAAACTTAGGTCTAAGTGCGGATGTTTTTGCACGCATGATAAATCTTCGGTTACTCTATATTGACCGGAAATTCACTTCTACCCAACCTACATTTCTCCCTGACGAGCTGTGATGGCTTTGTTGGAATGAATACCCATTCTTGTTTCTTCCATTAGCAGATATGTGTAAGCTTGCTGGCTTGGAAATGGCCTATGGAGATATTAAACATTTATGGAAGGGGCGAAAGGTATCTACTAGATGAAATCAGATTCTTTTTGGCCATGATAATTTACATTGATAAATGATAACAAAATGTTTCCATTAGCATTGAATTGAAATTTTAATAATCTTGACATTATTATTTTTATTAATTGCTGTTTTACTCGTCAGATTCTTCCACACTTGAAATTCATTCACCTCAAAAGCTTGTATAGCCTCAAATCTCTCCAGATGTCTCTGGGGCCCCAAATATAGAGAGGTTAATTGTGTCCGATTGTGATAATTTGGTGGAGGTTCACGAGTCTCTTGGTTCTCATGGAGGGCTGGTTTATTTGGACAAGAGTGGTTGCAATCGAGTCGAACAGTTTCCGATCTACACTAGAGATGGAATCCTTGGAGACACTAATTCTCTCTGGATGCTCTAGACTTGAAATATTACCTGAATTCTCCCCATGTATGGTTAAACTATCACAAATAAACCTTTATTCTTGTTCTAGAATAAAGAAACTGCCATCGTCAATAAGACATTTGTCTAGCCTAAGCATCTTAAATTTCACGAACTGTTATAATCTTGAGAACATACCAAACTCTATATGTCTGTTAAAATTTCTTCGGTGCCTGTATCTTCACAATTGCATGGAGCTGATTTTTTTCCAAAGAAGCTTGGAAACATGAAAACGTTAGAAGAGTTGTCGTTAGGATTTAATGACAAAGGAAGGTCTGAGATACCTGTTGGTTTACATAGTTTGACAAGTTTGTCTTCCTTGAAAAAATTGAATCTCAATTGGAGACAAATTGAAGAAAAAACCTTGCCTGTAAATCTTGATGCGTTTTCCTCCTTGGAAGAATTATATTTAAGTGGAAACTCTCACTTAGTTCAGTTACCTACAAGCATCCGCCATCTTTCTCGTCTTAAACTCCTAGAGTTGAATGAGTGTAGCCAACTTGAAAGTCTGTGTGTGCTTCCATCAAGCATACAAGTGTTGAAGGCAAATGAATGTATCTCATTAAGAAAGATCTGAGATCTATCAACCGAATGTAAATGGTTGTATAAGATATGGATAACTAATTGCAAGAAACTTCTAGAGGATGAAGAGAATCAAAGATACCTTGATAAGATGTTGCAACTATCTTTTATTAAGGTAATTCCTTTTACCCTCTTATCAAATTTGACTTATTTAGGCTGCGTTTATTACATGGGACTGGACTGAACCCCATGGAACTAGACAAACTTTGTAGGGCTAATTTCTATGAAGAGGATCATGTCTTCCACACATTACAACATGTTCTGTCCCCGAAAAATACATACTTACATTTATTTAGAGAGAAATCCCAATAGCATCCTTAGTATATGATAACGACAGTCATCTTCATATATCTTCGTAGCAATCTTTTAAGAAACAATATAAACCTGATGTTTTTATTGATTACAGAAGTGTGTTGCTGTAAATCATCGTTTAAGAATCGCTATTCCTGGAAGAAAGATTCCAAGCTGGATCAAACAAGAAAAGGATGGGTGCAGAATAGCATTGAAGTTACCTCACAAATGGCATACCAGGATGATGGGTTTCGTGGTTTGTGGTGTGTTTCATGGAAGCTGGCTGTCACATTATGCTTCTCCTCGCATCACCTTCAACATTGTAACTGACGGAAAGGTAATTCCTTAAGTCAGAGGTCCATTATTATGCACCTCAATCTGCCGAGAATGGGAATGTGTGGATTAGCTATATGTCGTTGGGTTTCTTTCAGCAGATGTATCATGATCTTCAACCTCAAGATTGGTCTCATATTCAACGTTATCTTGATATTACAGTAATGTTAGGATATGTACGATCCCTAAGATGTGGGGCACATGTTATCTATAAAGAAGACGTCCAACAGATTACAAATTGTATCTCTGATTACGGTAATGTGGTGCATGTAGATAATGAGGATCAAGGATATGATGAAGTTATCTCCGCCAACACCTACGTATGTATAATAACATATAAATTTTAGAAATGTCTGATCAGAAGAAAAGTCTGATCAGAAGAGTTTGATGCCCTTAAGAAGTAGAACTTCAACACGGCGTGCCACGAAGCACGTATCTTGTATGATACGCCTCGGGAGACCCAGAAAAAACTGAGGTCCAAATTAAACTTAATTCGGTTAAAATCATATTATGGTACAATATTCTTTGCATGATGTTCCAAGTTACAAGCTTATATGTATAATAACATATAAATTTTAGAAAAGTTCTTAGATGGCCGGGGCCATACACCCCACTTGAGGTAGTCTGGATCTCCGTAGATTGTGGTATCTGATACTTTTGTTTCCAAGGTTAATTCTTTTTTTTTTATTTTTTTTACCAATGGATATTTTGCATAATATCTGTCTTTCAATATCCTCAATTTTAAGTGTCGTTTTTGAAAGAATGTTGTAACTCTTAAAAGTTAAAGACAATGGTTATATTAAGAAAAAGAGACAAACATAAGCATGACTGTTTTGGTTAATTACAGAAATGTGCTGTTGGAAATCATGGCTTAAGTATTACTATCCCTGGAAGTATCATTCCAAGTTGGTTCGAAAAAGAAATGGATGGGTGCAGAATAAGAATGAAGCTACCTCAGAAATGGCATACTGAGTTCATGGGTTTGTGGTATGTGGTGTGTTTACTTACCGGCAGTCGCGATATAAACTCTATAAAAAGTTTGGGTTTCTCTGCTAGAGATTTGATGGGAATACTTAGATAATTGAAAGAATTGTAAGAAACTTTATAAAAATTTTGGTTTATTGTTTAAGAACTGAATCATGTATATTTCTCCAGAAAGTGCATAGAACAAAAGTTTTGTTTTCGTGGATTGAGCTGATATAACAACCCTCTTTTCATATTTATCGAAAATAGCAATGTACTTATCATTTATAAAAAATTGTAATATATTTATAATTTCAAGAGATGTACGACCATACTTGTCATTGCAATAGAACCTTACATTTATGAGTAGAAATAGCAGCCACTTTTCGTATTTTTATCTAAAATAGCATTATACTTATCATTTTTTTACTAAAATTAGCACTTTAACAGATGTAGGAACATACTTGTCATTTTCAACAAAAATAATAACTTACTTACATATATGAGTAGACACAACATCATGCATTCATTTTTAACCAATTTTAATATCTACCTTTCATTTTTAACCAATAACATCATACTTTCATTTTTAAAAATCATACTTTCATTTTTATCCAATAATAGATCCGTACTTACATTTTTATCCCATAATAGCATCATACTTTTATTTTATCCCATAATAGCATCATACTTTCTTTTCATCCCACAATAACATCATACTTTCATTTTAAAACACATAATACTAGCATACTTTCATTTGAAACACATAATGGCAACTACCTTTATATTTTAAACACACAAATAAGAAACAGTCAATAATTTTCATTCAAAAACATATAAAAATTATAAAGAAGCATCAAGAAGCTCTAAATTATTCATACCTCATTTGTGTGTAAAACATGAAAAAGCTACAGTTAACCAAAAAAGAATGTCAAGAAGCATCTAGATTTTTATGTTGGTCACTGAAACAACACACCTACTCATTGTTTCTCTAGTAACGATTCATCTGCCTGATACATGAAAAAAAAAACTATTAATATAATTATAGAAAGTTTTAAAATCATGAAAAGTAAATTAACATTATAAGTACCTTTCTTTTTAAACAAGTAGTAGCGTAATGACCCAATCCTTGACAATAAGAGCATGTTCGTTTTTTGGGGGCTTCTAGAAAAGACTTTATTCTACATGCAGTTTTAGAAAGCCCTTTTGTATTAGTTGAACCAAGAGGATCACAGACAAATAACAAAGGCACCAAATTTACTTGGAAATTTCTCATACAAGAACCTTCATATGCATTGTCAAAAGATATAGGTTTATTCCAAAGTGTTTAATCATCTAAACGACTTATCAATAGTGTATTGAGTTTTTGTATCTCCAAAGGGGAATCTCTTGCTTGTTTAATTAGTGTAGTAAAATTTGAAAGGGCACACCATAATGTGAAGGACCTAACTCTATTTTCATTATTCATTTCTTTGAATCTGATACTAGTTTTACCTACCTTATACCTAGCATTAAGGGCACACCGAGGTGAAATATAGTGACTCAAGAGTGTTTCAACATGCCTCTTCTTCATCACATATAAGTTATTCTTGCATAAAATCCCATATGTCTCATACTTAGCACACATAAATTTGACCCTAACTTGATTCAAAGAACAAAAGATAACAATATGCCAATATGTTTTATCAACGTACACTTTCCCAACTCGATATTTGCTTTCTTCTATACGTTTACTTAGATGTCAACCATTATGTAGTTATCCATAGATTTCCCAAAATGCCCTTATCGCCATATATTCCATAAATTCAACTAAAGATCATTCAAGTCTTCATGTTTTTGCATTCAAATCATGTTATTAGTATCAACTCATGTTTATGAGTATCATATACTCATCAAATTCTCACAAACGAAGGATTCCATTATTTTCAACACATTTCTCCTAATTCAATTCTAATTCTAGCCTATACATGATTCTACCATCATGGATGAATTTGAGCATTCTAGTTGGATATGTTGATCTCAAATATCATCTAGGTTATAAAATCCAATCCCATTTCATCATTATTTGTAATATCCCTAATTTGGGTTTTCTTGGGTTCATGAGGGTTTTCACCATAATCCTTAAATCCATTAATGGGATGATTGGATTGAGATTGGGATCATCAAAACTACTCAAGGGAGTTTAGAAACCAAAACCCTAGTCATTGAATCACATAAAACTCGACATTAGGGTTTAACCCACTTATCAAACTTGAATTTATAGGTTAAAAGGAGAAAAAATTATACTTAGGAAGCCTTTGATTTCTCTTCCTTTTGCTTAAATGCTCCAATCTCCACCTGAATCAAACCCTAGATGCCAAAGGATGAAGAAATTGTCATTAGCTTACTCTTGATTTGCAAAACACGACTAGAATGAGAGTGGGGAATGTGTGTATCTTTTTTTCTAATTTTTCATATTTATTCCCTCTACTTTGAGCATTTTGGCCAAAACCAACCAAACCTCAATATTTGTGATTTTAACTTAAGTTATGACATAATAACTCATTCTCCATCCATTATACAAATTTTGTAGTCTCTTCCGTTAATTGAGTCAACCCTTTGGTCAAATCAGTTTGCCTACTTGACACTTTTGGTCCATTAACTTTTAAAATGTTATTATTCTCACCTATAATTTTCTAAACTTCATATCAAATAATGATATGATTATTCCTTGATTATTTAATTATATAAATCATCTTTCATTTTTTTACTTATTTAAGAACATAGTCTCAAATTTTGGGATGTTACATGTGTTGGGTAATCTGAATGGAGAAAGGATCAATAGGCAGATTCACAGCTTGGTTAGAGATAGTCCGGGATTAGTCACTCATTGTGGTCGAATTTGGGTACCGTTCATTGGGAATGCAAGGAAAATACTTATGTATAAGGCTCATAAGTTGAAGTTTTTTATACATTCTGGTGCTACCAAGATGTATATGGACTTGAGGGGAGATTATTGGTAACCGACAATAAAGAGGGTCATTGCCAAGTATGTGGGGGAAGTGTTTGACCTGTTTGAGGGTCTATGCTAAAGATCAGATGCCTCACGAGAAGTTTCAACCACTTAAGATTCTTGTTTGAAAACGGGAACACATCACGATGGATTTTATTGCGAAGCTACCCAAGACCCCGAGAAATTTGATACCATTTACGTTTTGTGTGACTCAACGCAACTAGGGATATCAAAGGGGACAAAAGGGACAGGGACTGCATCCCCCGCCCCCGCCCCCGAAATTTTCATGTTCCCCCGCCCCCGCCCGTGCCCCAGAAGTATCTAGCTTTCTCATCCCCGCCCCCGCCCCCGAAAAAAAACACAATAAATTCAAAGTTACAAACCAAAAAAATTCAAAGAAACATGATCGATTACGGTAAAGTTCCACAAAAAAACCACAATATATCCAAATCTATCATCTAATTAAAGTTCCAAAAAAGCACAATAAATCTAAAGTTACAAACCAAAAAAATGCACGATAAATTCAAAGAAACATCAATGATTACTATAACACAAAATCATTTTACTTTCCATCTTTCTCTTCATCTTCATCAACATTTAAGTCATCGCCACCATCCACAAGACTACCTATAAAAATATTATAGTAAGCAACAATTAGTATGGAAATGACAAACAAATAAAAAATAACAAAAAAATGCATACCTTTTTTCCCACCAGATAACCAATTTTGGGTGCATATGATAGCTTCAATTGTTTTCGGAAGAAGTTTACTACGATGTGGACCAACAATTCTACCACTAGAAGAAAAGGAAGACTCTGAAGCAACAGTAGAGATGAGAATAGCCAATATGTCTCTTGTAATCAAACTCAAAGTAGGATATTTAATAACATTTAGCTTCCACCAAGCTAAAATATCAAAATCATGACTCCCCGGTAAAGTGTTTTCTTCTAAATACACTTCTAACTCTGTTTTCCCATAAACGACACTATGAGAAGAATTCCATGAGAAAAAAAGCATCTAATGATTATGTCTCAACTCTAGGAGTTGCATTTTTAGTAGAAGTGAGAAACTCTATCATCATTTCTTGTTTGGGTCACACATCTTGAATCATATTTTTGATATATATCCTCACAAATTGCTTTGACATTCAATAAATGAACTTTTGTTTTAACATCGCCATAGATAAGAGGGAAAAAGTAGTCTAAGATTTTCATCTTAAGCCTAGGATCCAAGACGGTAGCCATAGACATCACCCCATAACTTTCTTCACAATACTTATCAAATTTTGTGACCATACTTGACGCCATTGTACTAACTTCAGTGAACTTGCAGTCATCCCATTTCTTTAAAGCTAACTTTAGTTCACAAATTTTAGGGAAAAAATGTTAGTGGTAGGATATTTTGTTCCCGAAAACAATTTTGTGACACTATAAAAGATCTTCAGTTTGTCACAAAGTTCATTAGCCAATTCCCGATCACTTTCATCAGGTAAACTCTTATATTGGGGCTCACAGTTTTTTAACCTGAAGAATACTTTTTTGTATTTCACGGCAGTAGCAAGCATCAAGTATGTAGAATTCCAACGTGTTTTGCAGTCAATGGCTATTTTTTTTCACAAATAACACCATAATGTTTTGCATTATGTTCAAATGTCTTCATTCTTTTTTGTGTTGTCCAAAAAGAAACACTCTCACGGACTTTCTCAATCCCCTTAAAGGAATCCAACCCACTTCTCACAATTAAGTTCAAAATGTGCGCCGCGCATCACATATGAAACAACTCTTGACCTAAAATCAACCCATCAGAAGGCATTTTTTTGTCATCATTTCAATCATGCAATCATTTCTTGAATAGTTATCAACGGTTAAAGTTGATAATTTTCTATCTAAGTTCCAGTACATCAACAATCTAGCAACACGTCTGTTAGCTTCGCTGCAGTATCAGGACAAGGCACATATATAAACCCACCAATCAACAAATTAAATTGAATTTAATATAATGAAAAAATAGTATTATATTAAGCATATATCTATAAATTAGTAAATACCGCAAAAGTCGGCTTTGCAATTTCCATGAATCATCAATGAAATGGGATGTCATAGTCATGTATCCTTTTCTTTGTTTG